AAATACGTAATTTGTTTTTGTACCATAGTTTCTATATGAAAAATGAAAAAATATATATCTATATGAAATATAATATATTTGTAAGTATATTCTCTCTGAAAATGTATGTAAAGATATTAAAATTAATTGTCACCTAATCTCGTCTCATTTTGGTCAATCTATCCCACATAGGCCGGTATTCATAGTCAGATCTTATATTCAAGACTGTCTTAAGTACAGTCTTAAGAAGTCACGAACCAATCAGAGGGCTGCATTAGCGTCTTAAGACATTACTTAAGACGGTCTTGAAATAAGAACCGACTATGAATACCGGCCATAGTCATTTTTAATAAAAGAGATTCTATTCACAAACTTAGTCAGAATAATGATTACTTAATTGTAGCAAAGATCTTCTAAGATATGTCATTTTCTATGAATACAGGGATATTACGACTAATAATGCCAAAGACTTGTCAGACAACAAAATAGGTGATTATAAAAATTTCCTCATCAACTTTATTTCTTTTTTTCAAAAATCGCTATAAATAATATATACAATGCTTGTGGTGCAAACCATTTTACACAACAAATTAACATTGTATCAGCTATCTACAATTAAAAAAAAGAGATTTTTCTGCCGTGTCTTGTTTGAGTTATAAGCATTTTGACAATCAACCCCGTACGACATCCAGCCCTGAGCTTCCCTAAAAGCATCGAAAATAAAATTTTGGTGGAATAAAGTAAATAGAAGAACGGTCAAGGACAAATATCGATACTTCCGTCTCCACATCAGGTCAGCGGTACTAGCGGAACGCCAGTACTGACAAGAATCTTTAAGAAGGCGCCGTTGATTATTAAAGGCCCCCCGTTGAGAGGGTCGGAGCGAGATAATCCTGAAAAGCTACAGGGATCTCTTATATACAATGACTGTCAATATCAACCCCGACCATCTAACATGTCGCTGGAAGTGCCACTATAATATTTCATATTATTGCGCCAAATCTCTCCGCTACAGTCCTCGATTTATATCCAAAAAAAAGAAATAATTTTAATATTAGCAGAAACCGCTAAATTTTAGAGGATTTCATTCTTATATACGGCTTCAAGAGGAATCTTCTGAAATCGAGAGAAAAATATGCTAAGCACAATATTCTTACAGTTAGAGTACTTTCGTTTTGCATCTGCAGTAAAAATCTTGCTGTTCCTAATATAATTTACTCGTAAGAGGGCACTCCGCTTTCAGTAAATATATTCCTCTTCATAAAATAGGAAAATTGTTAGAATAATTTCCAATACATTTTTGATGAATAGTCCAGTACATTGGAAGAGGAATACTCTTTCTGTAAAAGTTTCTGCTTAGAATATGAGGTTATCGGAAATTTTACTTTACAATTAGATTATTTTTTTTTTTAGTGTAACTATTCGATATTAATTTTCTCTTGTTTAGTTGTCTCTAAAATAATAGATTGAGCTAATGTTTGATCCTCGAACACAAAATATTCGAAAATTTTTTACGATGGTTAGAAGAATCTAGTGCTCTTAAATTCGAAATTTTTCTTCGGCTGAATGATTTGCGAGTCTATCAATCTGCGGATCAAGAGACCCTTATTGTTGCCGACAAAAATACTAAAATTCGATGTTTAAATATTAAGCTTCTCCTCGTCCATTTGATACGAAGAACTTATACTTTAATATCTTATCGAAAACATTACTAAACAAAATTTACATTTATGTAATTACGACCGCAATATAGTGTCTAAAATTCTAAAATAATAACGACTAGTTGCGTTAGCAACACACTGCAACTAATTTCTTTCAAAACAATTATTGGCGACGAATTCTTAGATAATTATAACGTGAATAATAGCTATCGAAACGCGTAATATAAATGAATATTTCAAAACAAAAGTAGGATACAAAACGCGTAGAATCAAACAGCGAATCTTTTGCAAGTAATTGCAAAAAACGACCATTATATCTTAAGGCTCGTCCTCGCTGAAACCAATAAAACTGATAGGCTTAATCGGATTCAGTGTGAACAAGTCTTTTTAGACTGACAAAATAAATTGAAGATAATAAAAATGCATAGATGACAATATGTTGCGTGTCTAATACCTGTAGTAACGGTACACCAAGGATAATTACGGAAGTAGTATTAGCCATTAATGCGGCAACATGCATTTTACTATCGTCTCAGTCGCAAACATAGTTGATAACTTTCTCTATATATTATAACATATAAGAATAAGATTTTCTTCTTGCTCTCATAAAGTAACCCGCATAAATCTTTTAACATTTGTAAGATATCAATTGTTTCTTCTTAATAACGAATAACAGCATGAATGCAAGACATATTCCTTCAACTCATTCCGATAAAAACCTTTCTCATTGTAGTATTGACTATAACTTATGTATACAGCAACAATAGTGATCCCAAGATAATTCACAAATCATTAAAAGAAATTTTGTGACAAAGAAATCATTCAGAGGAAAAAAAGGCAATGTATTTAAATCTGAATGTACCTGAACTAGAATTAATCAACGCCATCAAACCATCACAATAAAGACCTAAAATTCAAATAAGAAAATAAAGGATCGGTACGTCTTTTATTCTATTAAATTGAAAAAATCGTTAAATTTGATAAATATCATCCTAAATCAGTAAATCACTCTAATGTTTTTTGCGATTTTACATTCCGAGTCAGATTTTGAACAATGTTGATATGCTATAAAGTCTAAAAACATCTCTTTTGTTCGATCTTGTCATCCTTATAGCAACCGTTTCAAGTTAAGCGTAAAAATTTCTACCAAATTTACAATTAGTCAATTCTGACAATTTTGTCGACTTTGTTGATTCTATTGTATATGTACATATATATATATATATACATACACACACACACACAGGGTGTTTCCTCTAATTTGATCATTTAAAATCCCCATTTGATGATATAAGGAAATATCGCAGGGGATCGTGTTCGATTCGAAAGGACAAATATGAGCAAAAAATTTTTCTCAAGGTCATATTTTTTGAGACTTCAAAGTCATCTTCACTTTTTTAAATGAAATTAATTTTTTTTACACAACATGCAGTGATGGGAGCTGGCAAGAATTCGTCTGCTCCAGGAAACTTTGTGCGCATGCGTAAAATGACGTAGCAGCTGGTTCCAATGACGGAGCAATACGGGATACGGGTGCTTTTGGGGCTCCTGTACATCTTAGTGATCAACCATCCCAAATTAGGACGGACAGTCTCAAATTTTAACACTTTGTCCCACTTTACAACGTGTTCCAAATTTTTTCTTAAATTAAGATTATAGTAATGAATTCCTCTTTAACTTCTTAGCTACCCCCACAGCCCTCCCCCCCTGGCTACGCCACTGTCATAAGATATTGGTTTTTTTATATCACTATCTTGATGCTTTTATATCCAGAATAATAAGAAGAATCATATTGTGTAAACAAAAATCATGCAGTTCTATTAAAAAAAGTGGAGATGACCTTAAAGTCTCAAAAAATATAATCTAGAAAAAATTTTTTGCTACCCCCCATTATATGTGTATCTTCGAATCGAACAAGATCCTGAGGTATTTTTTCGTATCTAAAACAATGGAGATATTTTAAATAATCAAGTTAAGAAAAAACATTTCTTCTATATGTATATAGGTATGTTTATTCTCTTCTTTAATTGTAAACTTTTAATCACAGAGACATGCGATTCAAATCTGATTTTGGTAAACTATAGATGTTAGACCGAGTCTTCGTTGCATTGAAAGTAATAAGAAATAAGATAAATATTAAATTCAGTAGTGTTAAAAATGCTATTTTTTATTTCGCATTTCCTTCCTTCGCAATGTTTTTAAACGTTAATTTGCACGATCAAAACGGTTCGCGGAAGAAAAAAACGATTGCTTTCCGCGATTGCGAGTATTTAGGTTAGCAATCGACGCGATCTTCGAGCGTTGCGCGTCGTTATAGTTCGCTGGACATTAATAGTCACGAAATAGAAACTTGGCTAGAAATGCTAGAATCGTAAAAATATAATTGCTCCGATTGCAACAACGTTATCTGGGCACCGGCGCGGATAATGATACGTGAATGGGCGCATTACAGCACTATTCTACTTGTAGCCGGGCTATCGTACAATACTTTGTGCGTATCGTACGTTGCGCGTTGCGTGCGACATGTATGAGTCTGTACGCGTGCACAAAGTATCCCCCACTTTTGCTTGCGCAAATCACCATTAACACTCACGGTGAACACGGTGGCATGGCGTATCGAAGCGCTAAAGGAGAACGCTGTGCCATTTCAACAGCCGATCTTACAAAACTGATGATTATTTTGTTACATAAAATATATAAATATAAAAGTATTATTTTTCAATTATCTCTTGTCCTCGATCTTTCGAGATACTTATTCAACTGTCATTTCGTCAAATTATGGATAGAGACGTTCGTCTGATGCA